AAAAAAAAAAAAAAAAAAAAAGGTAACGAGAGTCCTAGTTAGCAATCACAGGGTGTACCAGATAAACCAATAAATAGTATAAGCCAAGTTATAAGGAGACCTTGGCGATGCGAACTTCGGCCGACTGGTTCTGTTGGCCCTGGTTGCTCCTCAGACTTTCGACATTCATCTTCTTGGCCTGTTCGCGCAGGGCCTTCTCGTGGTCCATGACGTGGCCGACGATTCGACTGTAGAAGAAGATGATCATGCTCATGGGGATGCAGTAGGAGAAGACAAAGATGGTAGCGACAAAGTAGCGCGTTTCGTCCGAGTCCGTGAGGTAGTCGAAGGTGCAACTCGTGAGAAAACCCTCGGGCACGAAGCGACCCCAGACGCCCATCGAGGGCATCAGGGCCCACGGGATCACGTACGTCCAGAGCGCCACGATGATCAACAGCACCTGGCCGCGTGACAGTTTTCCATCGAGCGGTCGGGCTATTGTACTGCACGCACCGACGTATGATTATGTATAATATTATGCACGTTAAAATATTGCAACAAAATGATGATAATTTATATGTATATTTGCCTGTAACGGTCGTAAGCAATGGCCGCGTTGGTAGTGGCTGCACCGATGCCCGTCAACGTGCCGACGACCCCGTAAATTTGACAGCCGAGGTTACCAAGCTCGAAGCCTGTGTGGAAAGAGTTGTATATGAAGACCGGGGTCTTCAGCATCATCATGAAGTCGCACAGCGCCAGGTTTATCACGAACATGTTGGACGGCGTTCTCAGCGATTTCGCCCTGCGTATATATTTTATTTTGCTCGCTGTTTAATATGTTACCACTAGCTTCGCTTTTAAATTATTTTCTAACAATAGCATGTAGATGATAAAACGCGGCTTTTTCAGTATACTACTCGAAAAAAATTTAAAAATATCCGTTGTTAGATTAGTAGGTGTACGTACAAGTATAATACCTACGTACATACATCATTTAGCCGCGAAGTAAGTACACTTTATCGGATCAACCCCTGTCGCACTAATCGAGTCCAACCGAGTATAATATCTCTGTCATGTTCAAATATGTGCCTAAACTAAACCGCAGGATCTCAAAAAAGTCAAGTTTCCCCTTCACTTTGTATTTTAATTTACAATGGTACAAGAAAAAATGGCCAAAACAGCGATAAACTAGCTCATTGTCCATAGAATGCAAATGGGCACTTACGCGCAAAACACCCAGATGACGACGCCGTTGCCGAGAAGCGAGATGAAGGTGAAGAGGACATAGAGCAACGCCAGCATGTAGTGGAGCGCCGGATTTGGCTCGGGATACGAGAGCCAGTGCTCGGGTATGTGCTGGAGCTCCTCGGGACGCACGTTCCAGCCGAGCATCCTCGGTGGCCCTCCCGCCTGGATCCGAGCCTCCGTCCCCGCGACAACAACGTTGCTGCCGTTCCAATTGTAGTACGGCATCCTCAGCTCCATTATTCCCTCGTTATACTATACTATATAACGTTCAACGATAAATAACGATGACACACTAGTTAGTATATTTGTCAACGCTCCTCCTCGCACCAAAAAAAACTCGACACCACAGCACCACCAGATCATATACCTTTTGTATTTCCCGATCTTTGCCCTTCGATATATAATATATTATGTGCGTATCCCTCTGCTCCTTGTTTCACCGATTTTCATCCAAGTAGAGCCAAAGTCGCTGGACGGCTCCCTTATATAGACCGCGGCTTTTGGAAACCCTATCCGATGCGACGATAATGACCATTATGATGATGATGCTCGCGGCGATGGAAACGGCCAGGCAGGGGCTTCTTTTTCTTCCATAGGAGCCGTGCACTCGGATTAGCCGCGCGGATTATCCCCCAACCCCCCGAAGTTGGCTTGCTTGCAGCCGCAGAGTCAGCGCTAAATCCGCCTCAAAGTCAAATCCATTGCCGATGCCGATCTGCTATATGAGTATACAAACTTACCCTTGCCGCTGGCCGGATGCCTTTTTTTTTTCACTCTCCCTTTTCTGTGCTCGTTTGTTGTTTTGCAAAATCGAGGGTATGTTCTTTTTCTTTTTTTTTTTTCCTCCTCCTTTCGCGTGTGTAGGTATGCTCTGATTAATCGGCATTGAGGAAATTAATTTCATAACGACTCGTGTTGATTTTTGTGTATAACAAGTGCGGGACTTTGCTAATTATAAAACAAAAAATGCACTTTGATTTAAATGCAACGATATTAACGAACCATTGGATTGAGAAAAATGAACACGTTAAACTATTATTTATCAAGAGTAAAAATAGTGGAAATTGTTTTTTTTTTTTTTTTTTTTTTACAATATGAAAGTAAATGTATACATTATTTCCTTGTGTAAATTAGTAATTAGCGCAGAAAGTATAATATGTGTGTATTTGTAATATATATTTTGATAAGCATTATATATTACATTTTTAATGTACATATTTCTTTTCTTTAGCATCAATGTAATTTATTGACATCGAATGGAGAGAGACGAGGAGTCATTGTATATTTTACATTCAATTGTAAATGTATTAAAGACCTTTTGACAGGAGAATGAACCATCCGAGATTTACCTGAAAACATGAAATACCGATCGATAGAGAGACAACGAAGTAAGTTGTCAAATGGCTGGTTAACCTTAAACTTCGTTCGTATAAGTATATGATCAAACTCAGGTTTTATTTTCCCACAGTTTACTCGGAACAAGAAGAAGAAGAAATAAAAAAAAAAACGAAAACCCATATGCATGTTTAATTTAAGCCGCAGCGGTCGTGCTCACGGCCTCGGTCGTGGTGCTAGCCGAATCCGGCTGAGGCGTTTTCTCTTGAATCTCCAACCACGGCATCCTCTTTTGCAGCTCCAACCTGCAGGAATATAAGTATATTGCAATCAACAACAAAGTTATATTTTTCAACCATCCTATACACACACAATTTTCTCTAAAAGTATACTTTCAAAGCGCAACTTCAAGTTAAACTATGTACCTGTATCTCGGGTGGCTGATCGCATAGACGTAAGGATCGAGGCAGGCAACGGTCTTGCAGGTGCAGGCCGGTATCATGGTGACGCCAGGCGTGAGCAGGGCCCTGTTGCCGAAAGCTCCGGTCAGCGCCATCACGGCGTATGGCGTCCAGGAAGCAACGAACAGAAATACTATCGTTATAGCCGCCTGAAAGTGAAAAGAAA